ACGACTGCTGCCGCATCTCTTCGGCAATCACGGAATCCAACGCCGGGGTTTACTCCACGAGACTCCTTGCTCTTCCCGCCCTTCCCCGGGCCCATGAACTTCACCAACAATCAACGCAAGGCCCCAGTGAACTTCACCCAAAGAAATGCGTGCCTTCGTCACTGCTGACACGAGCAGATGTATTTTATTGTCCTTCACCACGGCCTTGGGGCCAGGCGGTAGTACACGGTAGCCCTCTTCTTCCGGTCGCTTGGTCACAAGCTGCGTCTTCCACGCTTTTCCTTCCCATGCGGCGTCCTCTTTCAACTTCACATCTGCCCCGTACGCACTGTACTTGGCCCAAATCCCGGGACGCGCGTTGCTGTCACCGCTGCCGTGTTCGCCGATGGCAAGGGCAACCATCACACCCTTCACGTCAAGAAGGGAGTGGCTGAGGAATGAGGAGACACTTCCGTAAAGAGAGCTACTTTCGCCCTCTTCTCCAGCAGCAAACACTGGAGTTTCCCCCGGTTTGAAGAGCTCAACCTCCCTCGACGTCTCCTGCGTCTTCGCAGCGTTGGTCTCAGCCCCACAGCCGCCGCAGCATATTAGCACGCAGCAAAGAAGCAGCAGCACCGCCGAGGAAAACAGACGCCGGGACATGTTGAGCCGTAGCCGCTCTCTCACCCTCTTCTTTCCCTCCTTGCGGCGGGTCCGCGCAGGCCGCGACGGTTGTGTGCGAGTGAGTGTCTGTGTTGTTGGCGATGGCAGCCGCAGAGCCCCCAAGGCGCACGGCGACAGCAATCAGCGTTGAGCCTCCTACACCTTCTGCGTTTGTGTGTGTGCAAAGAAAAGTGAAGGGACAAACAAATGCGGGTGGCGATGGGCTCAGGAACGGAAGTGGGGAGCAACGCACACGCCACGCATGCGGGGGACGGGAGAGGCGACAGTCCGGCGGCGACAACGTGGCGGAGCGTCGCCCGCAGAGAGCGACAGCTTACGCTCACGCAACTCGCTAATCAACACTCACACATGCAGAAAATAGTAATAACAATAATAATCCATGTTTATAAGTGAAACGGTTAAGAATAAACTGACACACACAACACGTGGTGGAGGGAATTAAGGTCGATAGCGCGCATTGTGTGGGAAGCCTGAAACAACGCGCAGAAAGCAGCAGCAGCAGCAGAGTGAAGTGAGGGAATGAGAGAGGGAGAGTGTTTGTGTTTGTGTTTGTGTGTAATAACAACCAATAAAGGAACGAGGGGGTTCGCGCGGGTGTAAACCCGCCTTACAATTGCCCCAATACGTGCCATCGTCATGACTGTTTTAATAACGAAAGCACAACAGGTGTTCTGGCGCTTTCGGTCTCCCCTGTCGGTGCTCGCGGAGTCGCGCAGCCCTCAGGGAACAATTTTCCACGGCACGTCTCAGGCAAAGCCGGGGCGTCCTTCACACCCTTCTGTGTAGCGCACGCTGAGAGCATTAACTGCCGCGCCTTCTCTTCCTGCAGCTCGTGGCGCATCTCCTGGACCTTGTCGTCCCGTCGCTGCTTCCAACGACGCATTCTTTCGTACATTTTCGCATTGCCGCGCTTCTGCGGAGTCCTTCTGCCTACCCAGCCCGAGGATTGAATGGGCGAGACGTACTCCTCGGGGCCGTCGTCCTGGGCACTGGCGCCCCTGTGCCGCTGCCCGTCCCTGGCGTCAGACCAGAACGAGCGGCGGCCTGATGCGAGTCTGCTGCCGTCGCCCGCCGGAACGATTGCGCTGTCGCCACGTCTGCGGCCCGCCATGAGGCGCTCGGTGGAGGACACGGGAAGGCTCGCGGCGAGCATTTCCGAGATGGGGTTGATGTTCGGCGTGTGCAGCCGTCGCTCCGCCTCAAATACGGCGCGGATCTTCTCCTCACGCCGCAGTTGGTACTGACGCTGCCGCTCCTCCATGGAGCTCGCGCCGGAGTCCGCCGGAGTCCTATTGGGGCCGCAGTGCCGCCCGCGCCGCCCCGCCGCGTCACGCGGGTCGGTGCTTTGCCCGCGTGGAAAAGCGGGGCCGCCACTTTGGGGCTGCAACCGAGGCTCGCTACGTGCGCGCCTTGCGCCGCCGCTCTGTCGCGGGTTTTGCGTCTCCGCGCTGAAGAGCAGTCGGTCAACGACGTTGCCGCTGCGCCTCATCCCCGCAGCGTAAGCCGTGATACGCGGCGAAAACGGCGATAACTCCGCCTCGCGGCGTGCGTGTATTTCCCACAGCGCAAGTCGCGCTAGCGCCGCGCGCTCCAGCACGGCGTCAGCATTAAACGCTTCGCCACCTCCACTGCGCGCCCGTGCACGCCGCACAAGTTCTGCGCTGCGAAGGTTTATTTTCGGCGCGCCGTACACTTCCGCCATCTCCGCTTCCAAACGGCGGCGTCTGAGGGCTTCAGCGAGCCGCGCCTGTTCCTGCTCCCGTTGATGACGGCGCTGCGGATACTCCACAGACGCCTGCAGGGCACGACCCTCCGCGCAGTGCCCCATATCGGTGATATTTGGCACGAACCACCCCGCCATGTCCTGCTGCTGCTCCCGCTCCCGCCCCTGTCGCCTGCATTCGTCAAGCCTCTGCTTCTCCTCGTGCACGCGCTCCAGCCGCTCGATGATGTCTGTGTCGCGTGGGAGGTTGTGGCCCATGGCACTGATGCGTGGTGTGGGGCGGCAGCGGGACAGCTCCCGCTGCAAGGCCGTCCTGCGTGCCTCCTCCTTGCGCTCCGCCGCCATCGCGTCGCGCCGCAGCATCGCCTCGTACACCTCGCGGTTTGAACGCCCTTGACGGCGCGCCGAAAGCGGCGCCGGTGACGGGGCGAAGGGCCCTGTCGCGTCACCCGGCGGAAAGGCGCTGCCCGGCGCCACGTCCCGGAGCGAGAGCGGCAGGCCCCTCAACGTGTCCGCGCGGGATTCCGCGCTGCGGTGCTGCCGCGGCGTGAAGAAGGAAGGGCACGCGTGTTGGTCGACCAAAAGAGGCGAGTTGCACATTCCACCCTCTGGACCTCCTGGAGCCACGGAGTGAAACACACCGCGTACACAGACGCGGAAAGAGAGAAATCGACAAAAAAAAAAAGGATGACAAGAGCGAGGACCTTCAGCAGCTGCCATGACACCCATCAACGGAGTGAAACAAGCAGCAGCAGCAGCCAAGTCAGTCCACTCAACAGGGGCTTGACCTCAGAGCATCCGCCCACTTGGCATGTAAAGCGGCGGTTGCCGCCTTCTTTGGGACCGGAGAGAACGAGGCGGCAGGCACAAAACCCCCGCCTTTTTGGTGCATTTTTGCTGCGGTGTTTCTCTCACAGCTGCGCCGACACACTCGCGGCGTGCGCCCACGCCTCACGGCAAGTGCAGGGGAGGCGTGGCGGCTCGCGTGCGAGGTGCGCTGGGACTCCCCAGTCTGCCACGCCCAGCCCCCGGCATGACTTGTGCTCTCTGTTTTCCCTTCCTTCTCTGTTCCTCCCCCGCGCCCACACCGCCAACCGGCCACACAACATGGGACTGCACCAGCAAGCGCCGCAGCGATGGAAGAAACCACAAGAACAAAAAAAAAAAAGAATAATTGGGAGGCTCCTGGGAGGAGGCGACGAAGGCCTTCACCACACGCGCAGACGCACAATGCGAGAATTTCCGCCGATTATTTCAACCCACGCACAGCCACTCAGTTTTTTTTTTGTTTCTCCCCTCCTCCTTCTTCCTTATTTCTTCCCCCCCGCATCGCAGGCTCTCAGCAGCGTAGCTCATCGCCATGGTGTCGAAGCAGCAGAGGAAGCGCCAACGGAAGAAAAAAGGGGCCCACACAAGTATCGTCGCTTATCTTTGCCCAAGAAGCTGCAGCCAGCCGCGCACATTCGTGGGAACCTGCTGCGACAACGCCTCCGCCATGCTGTGAATAAAATGCAGCGTGTTTTCCGCATTTCTAAAGCAGATGTCATCCGCCACAAATGTTGCCATCTCATCAAAGGCCTCCACACTCATCTTCAAGCCTTTGATGGCGTCTAGAAATTCCTCCTCTGCCTTCGTGTGGCGCGCGAGACTTGCCAGCAGCCCCAAAAGCTGCGGGTGCTCGCCAAGGTCTTCCATCTGCATCCCGGCAAGATAAAAATCCTGCAGCCATGGCTCCTCAGCTATGTTCGACGCAAAATGTCGCATAATGTAGGGTATACCCTTCACTCGGAGTATGGACTGCTTTGCCGCATCTGTGACGGCCTTCGTCGCGGCTCTAATCAGCCAATCCCGCAGCGGCTCGTACTCCTTGGCGTGGTAGTACGCGAAGAGCAGCTCCACCCCCACCACCCGCGCTTCCGTCGTCCACAACTGCGCGTCGGTGTGCCAGTGTGTCACGAGTTGATCTGCGTAGCGCGACAGGGGCGGAAAACGGGAGGCCAAGTATTGTATAAACTGCCGCTGCGCCTCGATGGTGGGGTCTTCGTTGGCCTCTGCCAAGCTCTGAATGGCGGCAATGGCGGCGTTCATTTTGCGCGAGAGCGAGGCCGACACAATCACGGCGGAGGCCGCCGTTTGGTCCCACCGGGCCGAGGAGTGCCGCATCCACGACCAGAAGGCCAGCACCTTGCGGTGCTCGCCGCCGCGCGCGAGCAGCAGGAGCACGTGGCCGTAGTCCCTTGGGCTAACGAACGACCGCGTCAGGGCGATGTTCACGGCCTCCGTCACGCCGCGCCTGTCCTCCGCGCTGGCCGGGTCGCTCAGCTCCGTCAAGGGGCGAAGGAGGGAGCCGGCAAGGTGCGGCACCTCGCGCACGTCTCGCATCAGCCGCTGCTTCACATCCTGCGCCTTCCCGGCCTTCGCCAGACGCCCCGCAAAAACGCCGAGAAAGTCGCACGCAACCACCGAGGAGACGGGGCGGACGGCGTCAACAAACTGCAGAAGTGCCTCCGCGTCCAAGCTGCTCTCGTGCGTAAGCAGCTGCCGCGTCGCCTCCGCAAGCGCCCGTGTCGATGGATGCGCGGCAAGCAGGGCCGCCGCCCGTCTCGGTTCGCCCTGCAGCAGGTAGCTCCTACCCAGGGCGGCCCCAATGGGGACGGGGAGCGGGACAACGGGGTAGCGCGCGCGGAAGGCCAGCGCCGCCTCCTGCACCGCCGTGGCGTCGTTCAGTGGCAACGCGTCGCCGCAGAGCAGGCGCTGAAACGTAAGCCGCGTCGTAAAGCACCGTCGCATTGCTGCTTCCTCGTGCGCAGAGCAAGAAGAAGAAAGGCGCAACAAGGAAGGGGGGTTGGTGGTCGACGGGAGAGAATGGGGTGAAGCGAGTACGGCTGGAGGAGGAAAGCAAAAATAAAAATAATAAATAAAATGAAAGGGGAGCCGCAAGGGGCAACAACAACAAAAACAACCACAACATGGGCGGAGCGTGGTGGAATGGTAGACGTGCATCAGCTCCAAAAATATTTCCTTCTAAATGTGGGCCAACACAAAGTCAAAGGCAAGCCTTCTGTTTCTTCCGCCTTTGCAGTAATGTCGCACGCGCAGCCACGCAAAGCGTCCAGCCGCCACACCAAAGAGACGCCGTCTGTCTACCCATCCATCTCTCTACCCCACCGCGCCGCTCCGCCTCTAGCCCATCTCTAGTGATACAAAATTTCAGCGACGAGAAGCCTCCTTCGTTTCTGCGGCGTTGAGGGCAGACATAATGTCCATCCTCTCCTCGTCCTGCAGCTGCCGCCAGCAGTCCCGCACAAACTCCGGATCACGGAGACGCAAAATGGGAATTGCCTCCCCAATGGAGGCCTCCAGCAATTCAATGACGGCCCCCAGACGGTCGTAAAGCGTCTGCCGCTGGCGCCACTTTGCGGTTGAGACATTAGCATTATCTCCGCGTGAGAGAGAGACAAACTTGTCTACGAGCGCCGTGCAGAGCTTACAGACCAGCGCCAGTGTCTCGTCGACGTCACTGTTCACGTTGTAGCCGATCCACTTTGCGGGAAGCAGGTCCTCCACCTCCTCCGGGCCGGCGCAGCGCCCAACGTTCTTCTCCCAGTAGGCCTCCTTCTCCGTCCATGAGAGATCCCAGGTGTGCACCGTCTTCAGCGTTGACAGGTGTGCGGCCGCGGCGTTGGCGTCCCAGTTGTGCAACAGCCCCCCACTGACAAGACTCGGCTCACGCACTGTTATCATTGGGCCTGTCAGAGCGGCTGTGTGGGGATTCAGAACCTTTACCTTTTCGCACCCCGTCATGCGCTGCGGGTTCAGCGTGTACGGAAGCACGGATTGCATCCGGGGCAAGAGGCAAATGCGTCGCGCCGGCCCCAGTCCAACGCAGCCCGCGCACCCAACGTGCCCAACGAAAAGATCTATGCCTGTGTGAAGGCAATGTGCGAGGAAACAAAAACGCAACAAAAGAACATGTGGTTGAAGTCGCACAAACCCTCGCACTCCCCATTTCCCCACACGCATACACGCACGAGGAGGAAACAACGATGCACAACTACGCCCCACCCCGTCCTCAGTGGCCGCCTCGCATGCCACACAGCAGAACCCGCGCAAGCAGATGAGCGACAGTCCAATTCTGGGAAACAGCAACAAGGGAGAGAGAGGAAGAAAGAAAGAGCAGAACAAAAACAACAACAACAACAACAAAGCCAAGTCGCCCAAGAACAGGAACAAAAAAAATGAGGGGAATGATTAAGAAGAAAATCTGTGTGATGTCGTACTGCGCATCCGCGGCAATTCCTTCCTCAGGAGTGCGCCCAGCAAAGCGTGACGAGGGCGACGGCCAGTGCCTGAAGGGCCAAAGAAAGCGAGTGGCAGGCGATGGAGGCCATCGTGGCGGTCACACCGCGGTCAGCAGCCTCGCCGACGCAAGAGGACTGATAGTAAAGCGAGATGCAGTTCCTCTCCAGCTCGGCAATCTCATCATCTGTCACTTTCATTGCCGTGTTGGAAGAGTAAAGTCCCAGCAGACACACAACCTTTCGCTCCCTCCCTCCCACACCCCTGCCAGCGTGGGTGGGCAGCCACAGTGCGAAGAAGGAGAGAAGTAAATCATGAGACACAAACCCTCCACACACACACACACACAGAAGTGCACACCACCTCCCCGCCACCGCCACCGCCACCACCGCCATCAGCACCACAGCATGAAACCAAAAAACAACAACAACAACAGACAAGCAAACAAACAAATGTGAGCTGAGCACACAAAAACAGCGAATGAGTCAATAATGTACGCATCAAAGACAACCCCCTCCCCCTCTCAATGGCAAGAATACACGCACGCAGTAAACAACAACACTGCAGACCTCTCTCTTTCTTCCCCGTTCCCCCTGTTCCAGAGTTTACAAGACGGACTTAAGAGGAAATTTCCAGTCGCACAGAGTGAGGTAAGGTGGCAAGGGGCCACACACTGCCGTGGCAGCGGCACCCGCCGCCGCTGAGAGTAATCCATGTCTCCCCCAGTCTAGTCACATCGTCCCCGCTACCAGCTCCACCCCGCTCGACGCTGTCGAGTAGACGGAATGCCGAATTGACTCGGCGGCAGCAAGTCTCCTGTCACAGGGCACCGGTACAGCACTTTCATCACAGGACCACGGTGCGTCGCAGGAACCTCGCAAGTTGCTTCCGTCTTCTTTGAGCGAATTTGAGCCTCCAGTTCCCTCCGGTACGTATCACGCCTTTCCGCGTCCCTCGCCCGGTCTCCTTCCAGCGTGCGCCTCGCCTCAGCTTCACACAAATCAAGAAGTCGTTTCTCTTCCACCGTCTCCCGCTCCCTTGCCTCACGACGTGCCTCCCGCGCATTCTCAATCTCCCTCTTTAGTGCTTCGCGGTAGAACTTTTCTCGCCGCCGTCTCTCCTTTTCCACCTTGGAGGAATCTTCTTGGAATAGGCCGAGGCTCAAGACATCCTTCTCTGAGACTCGTCCCTTTGCGCGGCGCTCCGCGGCCGCCTTGAGAGCGGCTTGGCTAAGTGCATCCCGCTGCCTGCGCTTTTCCGCCCGGCTACGTTCGATCTCCTGCCTGTACGCCCTCTCAGACTCCTGCAGCCTTTTCCGTTCCTCTTGCAGTTGTCTCGCCGCGTCCTCGGCACGTCGCATTTTTGTTTCCTTCGCCATCTGTTTGTTTGCCTCCATCAACTCCCGCTGTCGCTCGCGCCGCGCCACCGCCTCCGCCTCCTCCCGCGCGCTCTGCTGAAGCCAACCAGCACAGCGGTCGCTCGGCTCTACTGCGGCACGTGTAGTTTTTACCTCAGCTCCCACGCTTGCGCTTCGCCGCTCCTCGTACAGGCATCGCTTCTTCTCCAGTGCGCGTCTTGTTTCTTTTTCCTCCTGTGCACGCACCTCCGCCAACGCCGCCTTTTCCTTGACTCTATCCTCCATCTCTCGTGTTTGCCGCTCCTTTTTTTTCAGCGCGGCCAGCTCTCGGTTGGCATCCAGGAGGGACAAACACTTCTCCCGCCGCGCTGTCTCGTCGGGGGAAACCGTGTCCCAGGGAAAGGCGGCACACCGCGCCGCTAGAGAACCGTCGACATCAGCAGCCTCTCGTCGCTTGCGCTGCATCGCCTCTACTGAGGCCTGTTGCATGGAATGGCGTTCTGCTTGCTTCTTTGCCAGAAGCGCGGCGGCCTCCTTGGCGGCGGCCTCTTCAACCGCCCTTAATTCCGCCAGCTCACTCTCTAACCGCCGCTTCCGCTCGCGTTCCCTCTCCTCTACCCTGCGCTGCGCCTCCTCCCGGTTAATGCGCTGCAGGTGCTCTAAAACACGTCGTCGAGCCACGTCTTCGCTGTCACGTGGCTGAATAAAAAGTTTGTCAGGCGACATCCGAGACGCGGTTTCCTCTTCGCGCCTGCGCCGTTGCTCCTCCATCAGCTGCAGGTTGACCGCCCGAATAGACGGTACCCTCGCGTTGTAGATGAGGTACTCGGTGTCCGGGCGACCGCCCCTTCCCCTCGCCGTCATCACCTCTCCACTGTAGTCGGCAAGAGGTGCGGCCGGAAAACGACGCGGCGAAGCCACTTGCGCGGCCACTGCCCCTTTCACAGGCGGCCGCACGCACGGAGCCAGCACGCGGTACGTTCCCTCGCAACTTCCCGGCGTCTGCAGCGGCTGCGGAGACGCATCGGGAACCGAAACCCCCAGCTGAGACAGCAGTGAGAACTCCGGCTGCGACATGGGCCTTTTATATATTATGTGCGTGTGTGTGTGTGTGTGTCTATTTACTATCCGTTGCTTTTTTTTTCTTCTTGTTGATTGCCGCTGGCTTGTCTCAACCTCCTTTAGCCACTGCCGAGAAAAGTGGGAGACGCAGCCAAAACAAACAAGCAACACTGCGCCTCCACGCAACTCTGCACAAACGTCGGGCTTCACGCTGAAAACCCCCTCCTGCTCCTCCCCAAACTTATCCCCGCGCACACAGACATGACTTACTGCTTCTCCCTCTCGCTCCAACGCGTTATGCTCCGTCCCTCTCGCTGGCGCCTTCCCGTTGGGGTTGTCCGAGACGAACGTGCAGTTCACTCCGATGCAACGCATAGCAACAGCAGCAATGAATAAAAAAAAATAATAATAATAATCATCATCATCATCGTACAAGCAAATGAAGACTGCAGAAAGAGACGTGGACAAATAAGCGGCCTAGCGCGGCATTGGGAGTGCGTGACTTTTCAGTAGTTGGCACATGCGCCTGTACCTTGACGTAATTTTTTGCGTCTCCTCCGCGGAGGTGTCGCGGGCTTTGCCGCCGTCATCATCCGTCAACTGGGGGATGTCAGCAAACAGCAAATCATTGAGGATGGCCCTCACCGCCGTCTCCACCAGCCCCAGCGACCAGGAAAAGGCGTGGCCCTCCTCACCAGGCATAATAAGTGGACGCCTCACACATGCTCCAAACTGTCGCAGCTCCAGCGTCCCTCCCAGGATTGCCACCACGCAGCCGTAGTTTTGATTTATCCCGCAGAAGCGAGAGGCTGAAAAAATCATAATGGAGGCTGGCACTCGAAATTCATGGTGTATTCGTCCCAGCAGCCAGCCGGGAAAATACGTGGACTCCGCGTAGTGGTTCGACCGCGCAAAGTTCTCAAACTCCGGGCGGTACATGTGGTACTCAAGGCCTCCGATGTGCGTGTACAGGCCGTTACGCGCCAGGAAGTTCGACGCCGCGTTAAAGGTATACCGCAGCGAGCTCCCGGTCTCCGTTCGCGATCCCACAAACGCCCACCCGGAAGACAGCTTCTCCTCATCCTCATCCATGGGCTGATTTAGAACAAACTCACTTAGGCGGGATTGTGAAACTTCTTGCCGAATGTCATTCAAACGACGATACTCCGACGCAAGACCACTGGAAGAACAGAAGAAGCGCTTGTCCACAACACAGGCCACGGGAAGCTTGGCAAAGAAGTTCTTCACTGTTTGTTCTAGTAAGTCGAAGGGAATCCCATACTGCACCGAGCGCAGGTGTAGCTCAGCCTTTAAGGATCCAAAGTGACCCGGGGGAAACGGATAGAACATCTCATGTCTGCCTATCAGTGGCACAACGACGCCAGGCAAGTGTTGCACCATGAGAGCCACTAGGTACAATACCTCCATTGACTTATGTCCACCGTCCACGTAATTGCCGAGAAAAACGACGTTCAGCCTATCATTTATGATCTCCTCCAGGACGCGACCGCGCAGGTAGTGCGCCAAATCAGTCGCATGGCCTCTGCACGGCCCTATGACCAACGTCCCACCGGACACCTCTTCAAGAAAGCATCGACCCTCCCGAAGCTTCCCGGCGCTACGAAGGGCCTCAAAGAACTTATCCGTCGCAATCCTACCACCACTCAGTATCGTCTCTAACGCCTCCGTAATGATTTCCCCAGCGCCTGCCAACGTGGATATCATGGCTTCTGCTATCTCGCATCCCCGACAATGAGGTTATAGAGTATGATGTTGTAAGCACATATGCACCAAGCGAAATAAGGACAGAAAGGGAGAGAGAGAGAGAGAGAGAGAGAGAGCGCGTGGGCGGGTGAAAGAAATAATAACAGCAATAATAATTCCCCTTAACGATTACCTTCTGTCCGTTGTATATATATATATATATATATCACTGTCCTACACAGAAGCACCATATTACACCTCCTATTCTCCTCCACGGTTCACCACAAACAAATTAGTCACTCCCACGCAGTAACCGAAATGGTCTTCCTCCCTCTCCTCTCCCGGCTCAACCCTTCGGCATCTGATGGAGCAAGTCCACGGCGTCGTAGTAGAGAGAAAGTAACGCGGCCACTTCCAAGAACCTGTCGCATACTTGACGGGTTGGAGCTGTGGGGTTGTACGTCTGCATGACCTCCACGACAGCCTGCTCCCGTGATGAGCCAATGATGTGATACTCAGAAAGACTATTTCGGCGAGAGTGAGGGGTGAGACCGAGCGAATACACTACATGGCGGGAATGCCTTTGAAATAGTGGAAGCCCATAGTAATTCCTTAGACTGTCAAAACTACGCTGTAAATCGTAACCATGTCTCTGTCTGCGACGTGGCATGTTCTACGCCCGGCATATAACGTCCATACATGTATCCGCACACGTGGAGGGAGAAAAAAAATAATGAGTGAACGACAAAAACAGAGACGTCAGGAACAACAAGAGCAAAACTTCTCGCGTGCAGACGAAAATATCTCAGCAAAACAACAAAGGAAGACGAGTATAATTCTTTCTTTTTTGTTTCGAACGGCATTGTTGCACGTCTCTCTCTTCCCCCTCCTCCTCCTCTGTCATGTGGTTTGTGCATGCCTGTCCTCTCTCACAGGGCGAATGGAGGAGAACGAGAGTGGGCCGGGAGAGGCAATGCCACCCGTCACGCCCCGTTATGTCTAGTGCTACCCGTCTTCCTCGCAGACGCCGCCAGCTCCATATTGCGATGCAGCAGGTACTGTTTCTGGCGCGTCCGCTGGTATTCCTGGCGCCATACTAACTCCTGGTGGTAGTGGTCAATGACCCCCTGCGGGTTGCGGTCGGAGAGAAACCCTATTTTGTACAGCTTTCGCTCAAAGCTGCTGGAGAAATGCCACAAGGGCCCCCAGCCAAGTCCTGCCAACTCACCAGAATTTACAAGGAATCTAGTGAAGGCTCGAAATTCGTACTCGTCAAAGTTGCCCAGATGAATAGGATGGAATAGAGAGTCCTTCTCTGCGTCGTACGGGGCGTACTCATCTAGACTGTTCACGAAACGATCGGTTTCAACATCTGGAAAACCGCTGATGCCGTCAAACGGCTTAAAATCTCTTGTGGTACACGTAAAGAAGAACTTATTCGGCTCATCCTTGGAGAGAATCATTTTGTTCAGGCCACGGACGAAGCTGAGGCGGGCCGCAGGAATACGAGGCAGCTCCTGCGGATAGAGATCGACATCGGTGGAGCCATCGTTTAGGGAAGCGAGCGTGCGAAGAAAGTCGGGGTGCGGATAGCGAAAATGGGTATCGTGGGAGAACAGATTCCACCCATCGACAACAATGACAATGGGAATCTTCTTCTCTTCGCTAATCTCGTCGAGTAAGAACTTGATACAGACACTCTGACGATCAATGGAGGCCGGGGCCACGGCCTTGTGCCCCCACTCGCAGAGTTCATACAGGTTCTGTGGTTGCCGCTCCCCCTGCTCCACCGGGAGGTCATTTGGGGTACACTTCAGCCGCCATGACAGCAAAGTAGTGCGGTTGGCGATTGCAAAATATCGGAGGAACGATCGAGCGGCATCCGGGGCATCAAAGAAGCCCGGTAAGATGGTGCTTGGCCAGCACCATTCTCCGTGGGTCCAGTCTTTCGCGTTCGGCACATATAGCGTCAGTAGCTTCCTCGAACGGGCGTAGTGCACCACTTGAGCCATGAGGGCACTTTTGCCACATCCTGTTGGACCGTCAATGATAAAGCCCGGTCTGTTATTTGTGAGGGAGCTCAGCACGTCGTGTTTCGCCTGCCAGTACTGTACCTTGTCTATGAACAGGTTTAACAAATGCGCCTCCTTTCGATACAAAAACCCTCTGGGGTGACCTGGGGGCATCAACTGCATCACTTTGCCTCCCAAACCCTCTGGAAAGAACCGCACCAATTCGTCATTTCCAATGCAATACATCGAATTGATGTCATTAAAAGAAAGCCGCGTTGGGACAGTTTCCGGGGGGTGCGAGTAAAGCTTTGCCACGTGTCGCACCGGGACTCCCCGCTGCATTGTACGAACCTCCTTCAGTGGAATGGCGCCATTCCACATGGCCACCGGGGCCTCACAGGCATCCGTGTAGCAGGTGACGGGCGGCCGTACATACAAGGAGGCCAAGCTCTTCCCAAGCAGTCTTGCTCGCATCTCTCCGAAACCAGCAACGGAAACCAAATCCACAAATGACGACAAACAAACAAAAACAAATGACCTTTCTATTGATAGTTGTATTTATAACGTTGAGGGAAGAGAGAGAGGGAGGGAGGGAAGAGAGGAAGAAGGAAAGAGGAAGTAGTACCAGTATTTAAAAAAAAAACAAGGAAACTCAGACAAGGGCACACATGGCGGGACAGATGCACAAATACATGTTTCCATTCATCGCTGAACGGGTCCATGTGTGTGCATCACAAGACTCCCCCATCCACGTGCATTCACGACTGCTGAGCGAACGCAAAGCATGCTCCCGGGCAAACAGCAACGCGGATTCCTAAATACAGAAGAAGAAACAAAAACAAAACGAAACAAAAACAAAAAAAAATCAACAGTTTAACACAAACATAAAAGTCCTAGCTAGCCTCTGATTGAGTCTGGTTCACGGTTACCCTTGCAGAACTGCTGAATGGAGGATTTTGCACAGACAACTCACGGTATTTTGGATCCTTCTCCATGCAATAAGGTGTCTTGGTCCACGGAATTGTCATATCTTCTGGCTCACCCTGGTGAAGGGCAATGGTCCTTATCAGTCCGCCACTAGACCCATCACGGCTGTAGGCATGTGCAACCGCCCGCTGACAAAAGCGAACGCACTCGTCCTTAGTCATGCCCGGTTTGTAATTGGCGTCGAAAAAGGAATACAAGAAGATAGATCCGCTTCCACCCAGGGCGTAGTCCAACTTCACGCACGATCCACCAGAAGGGATGCTATAGACAGAGCCACCGTTTAGAGGATCATACCCTGCCACAATAATACCAGCTGAAATATTCCATTTATTCATATAGCACAATTTTTGGAAAATGTTCGCGGCAGTCGCAACATTCACCGGTTTTGACGTATCCGTCTCATAGCTCTCTAGGTAATTTGCTGTCTGCTCGGCCAGGGCTTGAGTATCTGCCGCAGATCCGCTGCGGCAGCAGTACACTTTCTCAGTCAATTTGGTCAACTTATTGCTTGCCCGGTTCACCACGTAGGTTCCCGTAGAGGTGCGAGAATCTGCGGCAAGAACCACACCTCCATTGAAGGAAACAGCCATAATTGTCGTTCCAAGTGAAACTGCCTCACTTAACTGGGGATCAAGAACCGCAGCTTCCGGTTCAAATAATTGCTTCGCACCTTGTGCTGGCCCGTTGAGACTCAACTCGTGCGTAATTGCACCTGGACATGACGGCTCATGAAGCAGTGTTCCCTCCGGGCGCTTAATCATTTCTTCTTTTTATTGAAATACTCCTTGCGTTCTTTTCAAGAAGAAGAACAACAGAAGTGTGCAGATACGCATTTTTACGGAGTGTGTATGCATGTGTGTGTGTGTCTGCAAGAGAGGGAGAATTGCAGTTGCGCCAAGAGTCATAATAACAATATATCCAATACAATGGTGTACTTTCCTATCCTATACTCATCGATGCGGGGGCGGGTGGGGAAAAAGCAACTAGAGCACTGTAAAAGGTTTCAAACGTTCATCGGCCACTTTGTGGTCCGCTGGATTTGCTTGGGCCTCGTACACTATATTGGTAGCCAATTCTTGATGAACGGACCTCCCCGTGGATTCACCGAAAAGGTCGATGCGAAGTAAGTGCGTTTCATCCTCCCCAAAACTCCGCTCAAAAAAAAGTCCCAGGCTCGAGCAGTTGGAAAATTTCGCCGGGTTCAGGCGGTATACTATTCGATCCCCCTCTGGGACTTGGGCCAACTGAACTTCCTCCTGCGGTTGCAATCGACGGACCGAGTCAAAACCCACAACGTCAGTGGGATTACAGAATAATTTTACTTCTGCTGGAGAAAAGTCATCGTTGGTTCCCAGAATGGAAATGCCTCTTACGCGGCAAACTTGCTTGAGAGGCACCAAAAACAAGAGCTCAGGGTCAGCGTCGCTACAGATAGGTTCTTGATTATCCTCCATTTTGGGATCGAAAAGACGAGCCGCTTCAGAGGCGCTGTGTCTTGCATTCCACAGCTGCAAAAAAGGCAGATCCACCTGCTCATTTAAAGGCGATCCTATACCGAGGACACCTCCTTGAAGAAAGCCATCCCGCAGGTGATCGTGAGATCCTGTGCCGTGACGGCAGTTACAGGGCATGGTGGTGCCTTGGCCTTACAAAATAGGCTATAAAATAATGACAAGAATAGGCCAATGCGCAATGAAGACTTACAACGTAAGAAGTAAGGGAAAACACACACATATGCAATCAAACAAGCAAGCAGGTAAAAAACAGCAGAGATATAAATGCATACACCGGACCATGTAAACAGAAAGTGATGAAAAACATCACCAATCATAAACGAGGAGAATAAATACACACACACAATAAGAAAAGAAACACGGGCAAACGGGAAGTTTTCATAATTCATGTTTTATTTAAGGAGACAAATGCTTGCGTTTCCCTGGTGCAAAACGGGCGGTATGAAACCTAAACATTTCATCCGTTACGGCAGAGGGTGGCATGATACCCTTCTCGGAAAAAACCAATGTAATCATCGTCGGCGGAACAAATTCTACGAGAGGAACGTCATTGCTGTCTTCCGGCTGCTTAAGCTCTGCAGTACTCAATGGGAAAATGCGGGCAAACTTAAATGTCTCACAAAGTACATAAAAAGGGACATTCATCGCTGATGCAACAGTTGCGATTTGTAGCGACCCGGTACTGTGTATCAACCCACCGTGCTCAGTCACACAGTATGCGCCCATTACCACAAAATCCACCCGACTCATAATGGCACCCATACCAGCATCAGGGATAATTGTGCACGATTTCTTCAGTGCCTCTTTGAGTCGCATCCCTTCCTGTGTCTGTGCCGCCCTTTCTAGTAGAGCTACACCTGTGCCTTCAGGATACCTTTTGCTTGTCGAACGACCTTCACAAATGTAAAAATGAACACCGCTCCTTTCCTGTATGGCGCAAGCAATGGCAACAGCCAGCAATCCACCGCAGCCATGAACCAAAATACGCGACCTGCTTCCAACAAAGGGCAACATATCATTTATCTGATCCTTTTGGCTCCACACAAAATCCTTTAGTCTTGCCTCGCATCTGGCATTCATATCCGAAAGACTACGTTGTAAATCATGACTACTTGCAGCATCCTTAGTTAAATGAACCCGAAAGCGCTCAAAGCCATCACCGAGAGATTCATAACCACGCAAGGTTTCTGTTATTTCCTTATCAAGCTCAGAATACGTTGAAAACTGTTTGGACCTCAACAGCTCTTGAACTTCCTTCACGGCCTGAATCATAATGCTTATGTCGTAGTCAACATGGGGGACCTCCATCCTTATTTTCGCTGTTTTTGTTGTTGTTTTCCTTTTCCTCTTATGTTTTTAGGGAGGAGAGGAGATGACGGAAGTAATACTACTATCAAGAGAATATATGTACATACATAACAAGGTGACGCGACAAAAAAAAAAAAAGAAGAGAGAGCGGTAGGAAGGGTACACACCTGCACGCTACGAGGGTGGAAGAGGGGGACAAGACCATACTACACCATTGCCCCTCAAAAATCGTTGTACCACCCCTTTCTTTTTTCTTTTTCTATTTGTTATGCCTTATACACGCAAAAACAGATAAACATTGCCCCTCCCAGAGGGAGGCAATAAATAAACATTAAAATAAGAAGAAAAAACCTGCCTAAAAAAACTCTAGAGGGAATCTATGTAGCATAGTATATTTTGGCAGTAGGTGGGATTCTGGTGCTTGTTCTGCGCTGCACGAACCAGGTCTGCAGTGGTCAGCGGTGAAAGAACTGCGGTACACTTCAAGACGTCCACCAGAACTTCTCTTAACCCCACAGTCTCCTCTGAATCATCGAGGTGTATCAACACCTTTTTTACCAACGGCACCACTTGTGCTATAATTTGATCAATAACAATAGGGCAGACATGGTCTTTTTTTTGTAAGACGTCCAGCAACCGGGAAGCAGCTCTTACTCGCACAAAGTCACTAGAGTCGTCAAACCGTAGTAAGATCGACTGAAATATATCATTCGCACTGCCTGCATTCATAGGCAGAAAGCATACATTCGCTGCACTTTCCATACATAACAATCGCATCTCCGCATCATCTGCATCCGAGGCAGTGCACCAAACTGTCACCGCTTTTGAAGAAAGGGCAAACTCATTGTCGGAAAATGAGGTAGTTAATAGACAGCGATGTTTTTCCTCAACAACAGCACATAAACAACCAAGGGCAACTTTCCTAAGTAGATGAGCTTGACGGCCAGGGTGAAACGCGCCCAAAGGAAGAATAATCAGCCGAAGAAGTTCCTCTAATTGAGTTCCTGTAAAAAACGGCGGCCGCTCCCACAAAAGTTGCTCCAATGCACGAAGATAATGTAATTCCTCCATAATGCGCTTTGTAAAGTCAACATTGTTCAGCTTTACAAGAAATACGTCTGAAACCTGCTCTGCATAACTCTCAATATGTTTACAGTGCAGCACAAGATCAGAAAAGGCGCTTACTGGCATATGTACACCATATCTAAACAGCAACCTCCCAAAGTGGAGATCGTAGATGCCATCGGCGTCTCCCGTTACGACGGAGGACAAATCATTTATACACCGAGAAACCCGCTCTCGTACAGAAGGAAAGTCAGACTTTCGCAGACGCAGTAATGCGTAAAACATTATGGAATCCAGTGTTCTCTGCGTCATGTCCTCTGCGACTTCACGAGGTAGGGGATTCGCTGCCGTTGGAACAAACCCGCGCTCACCCAGGACACGCATTACTGTACCCAGTGTATCCAACAGAGAACAGAGAAGCGCTTCGCAATCGCTATCCAGTAAATCGGGAGAGGTCATCACCTGCACAATTTGGTTACTCTGTGAAGCAGACAATAACCCTTTCGAGCCTTCTATGAGGTAACGGAATGCCACCAAAATGCTGCATTTCACTGACATCGCAGCTGTTGAAAAAACCGTTGGCGCGGGAGGGGGCGAACCATTAGCTGGTGACACCAATATCGTCTTGAACTGTGATTGAACAAATACAGTAATATCTTCTTCAGCCTCTCTTGGATTTCCCTTTCCAGTAAGAAAGGGCATATACTGTTCAGGTGTCAGGAACTTTCCTAATATTTCCAGGCAAAGAAGCGACTCTTGAACAACGTCGTGGTTATCATCCCTTAAAGATTTATACAAAACACCCAATATCTGCTCCACAAATTGTACCACGGACTTTTCAGTGTGGTAAATAGCCATCCAGAGGATGCGTAGAGCAACCACCCGTCGATTATTAGAAGAGAACTTGATAACCCAATCGATGGCTGTCACATCGGCCAATATCTTCTCAATAAATCCACGTAAAGACTCCGCCACGACATAGCGTGCTCCCAAGGTAGGACGTACTTTTAAGAGAGGATACAGATTTGTATCAACTGTCGTCAACTTCATATCTGGGTAGTCATCATCTCCATACCATTCAATATCCTTCATGGTCACCCTTCGCTTCGTTATATCGATGGAGTTGTCCTCATTGTCGACCATATACAATTTCCCCATTCTCTCCAATAATGTACACGCTTTTGTTGACACGGCGACAAAGCGATCGGTCATTAGCAGCAACAAGTGGGGCAAATACTTGCGATGTTGCTCCAGACGCTCCATGATATCCAAAAATACCGTTGAAAGCAGCTCCACAAGAGCGACACGCACCGATTCTGCATGATCATTCGCCAAGACAAACAGTATGGAAGCCGTTGTTCTGCTCGCTTCTTCTTCCTTGCCATCCGAAAGAATCTGTGCAGCACCATGATGGATCAGTGACGTCAATGCCCGTACAGCCTCCACCCGTACCACGCTATGTTTATGAAGGAGATAACATTTGACCACGGTAGCAAGCGGCAATGCAATATGTTTGGATTCTACAGGTTCAATTTCACAGAGGCGAACACAAGCACGGCACGCCTCTTTTTTCAGCTCTGGAAAGGCATCACGCAAACAGTTTTCCAAGAGCACCTGGAAGAAATCAATGTAGTTACGGGGGCCGATTTCATTTGGGTAGGTTTCCATACACAACACCGCAAGCCGTAATAATAAAAGACGTAGTTCCTCACTTTCCTCTACAACAGGTGATACCCCTATCCTAGTCACAATAGCTGGTAAAACCCAATCCAACACAGACGAGTTTTGCCGCGGAAGAACGCGTGTCACAATCTTCACTGAGTGTTCCCGGCAACGCTCTGAGGCGTCTTCAAATCCACGAAGGCAAGCTCGAAGCATGTCAAACTCTTCTGTATTGTTGAGAGAGCCCTGTTCGCACAGCTGTGACAGCTTTTCGTAGGCGGCCAGCCGCTTATTTCGAGCCCCATCAGAAATCTCGTTCAAATATCTTGGAAGGAGCTCCATTATAATCGTCGCACCTTGGATTCCTATGTGGTACGAAATGAAAATGAAAAACAAGCCCACCGACAGTAAGGGGGACATAAAGGGATCATAATAATCAACAAGTAGGATATAACCACAGAAAATAAACGCAATAGAGGGAGAGAGAGAGGGATATAGTCTGCAGTTTGACAGTTTCCTGCCCCCTAACCAAAAAAAAAAGGAAACATACTTGCATTTGAAGTCAAGATCGGTTTATCCAAAGTTGAGCTGACGCTGCACACCAAGGAAAAGTATGAGTATTATTATTGTTAAATACCATTATAACATGTAACGACAACGGATTGCTATAGCTGAGGTAACACTAAGCAGCCTTTTTCCAATGAATTATCCAGACACCCGGCCGAAAGAAACATACAAACAAAAGAAAAAAACTAACTCAGGCGGACCCCCACCAATAGGCTTTCCGTGCGGCAAACCACGTCCTGGCAGGTTTTTGTAGAAGCAGCAGAAAGAAATTGCCCGTGGAGACGCGCGCGTGTCGTACCGGGAGCCGCTTACAGAGGGTTCTCGTGACGGGAAGGAACCGCGCTTGGCCGGCGCCCGCGGGCGCAGATACTGGGAGGCGCCGTCCCGCCGAGGGATCCCGGGTGGGCGAAGCGCAAGGAAGCGGGCACACGCGCCCCCCATAAACGGGCCCGCAGGAACGGGGCGCAACGGGGGCTTCCAAACCCCGGGCGTGTCCCTCCCTTCCCGTCGCCTGCGCGCGGGCGCAAGGCCGGTGCGGTCGGGCCAAGTTCTTTGAGGGGCCCCCGTCTTCGCGGGGGCGGCGAGCGGCGTGTTGAACGCCACCGCCCCATTTGCCAGATTTGTGCCGCTTTGCCAAGATATTCATTATTGTGCGTCAATTTTCTTTTATTGGGCTCGGCTGTTTTGGCAGTACGAATGATTGTTTCTCGAACTGTTAAATTGTTTTTGGCCTTTACTTGTGCCTCGCGGCCCCGATTAAATCCATTTGTGTTTTTTTTCTGAGGATGGCTTGAAACTCATCATATTCTTTTTTTATTTTCACGTATAACATTTTACTTCCACATCTTAAACTTTTTTTTGTTTTGTTCTTCTAGGACAGAACCAGTTATTGCTGTTATTGCTTTTGCAGATCCTCAGTAATTTGCTTCACTTCATCGTTTAAAGCGAATTTTTTGATAATATGATAGGCGTCAAATGATAATAATAAAACTATTCGGGAGGAAAAAATAGCAGTGGGCCGCGAAGTGTCTTACGTGGGGACTTTTCAAGAAATCTTCGAGGTTTGGCTTTTATTACATTGCGGGGCTTATGTGTTAAGACCACATTTGATATTGTCATCAGCTTTATACTTTGTATCCTTTCCTTCTCTGTGTTTTTTTTCTGCTTTGTGCTTCTTATCTTGTTCTCTTTTTTTTCTCCACTTTGCGTCTATACACGCATACACCGCACCTTATAGATTTCTTGTGCTCTGCTTTAAGTAAATACGTTGACGGACTTCTTTCAACATACAAAAAGAACAACAGCAACTTCACAATGGCCTCTAAGTACGCCCTCATCGCTACTGCACTTCTGGCCGTGTCAAATTTCGTGTCTGCTGATGATAACAACACCAAAAAGAAGTCCAAAAAGGAGTTTCCTCTCGTCTGGGTGTGCCTGGGTGTGACGATTGTGGGTATTGCTATCGCTTTGTACGTTGCCTACCGCCGTCCCGACGAACTCCATCTTCCCGGTGCAACGGTGCTGGTTACCACCGAAAGTGAGATGGCGAGCAGAGGAAACGAGCAACACAAGGATGACACGCCACACGATGAACTTGAAAGGGTTTAAGGTGTAACCCGCGCGTTAGAAAAAAAAGGCCAAATAAATATCAGAACAACGAGGAAAGTGTAATCCTATTTGAATTTCTAGCAGGTCTAAGACCCAAACGATTTCAATGCTCTCTTTATTTAGCCTTCTTTTTACTACCCACCCCTTTTTTTCTTGTTTTTATTTTCTGCTACCGGTTCCTAATAGGCTGGTAGGAAGACGAAACTGACAAAAAGAGAGGA